TAGGAGATCACCTCAGTAAACACATTATATTGACGATAATGTTTCCTTTTCTTCTTAGATATTCTGATGATTGTGGTGTTGTTGCCATCATTTACTGATTTTCATGAAGAGAAACTGTTTTTGTTTTTTTCTCATTTCTTCTGAAACTACCTGTTAATTTATACAAATTTCCACTGTCTTAAAAAACTTATTTTTACCAAAATTTTTAACTGTCAAGGAAAAGAGAACTTTTCTGTCAAAAATGTAACCTTTGTGCTGTGGTTGCAATCATTTATTGATTTTCCTCAAGAGAAATTTTATTTCCTTTTTTAAAAAAAGAAACTAACTTTTTTTCAACCAACGGAAAGATTTATTTAAGCCCTAACTTTGCTCACATACCAATCAGTTTTCATTATTTCTACGATGGAAAAAGAAAAGAAATAAAAGTCATGTGTTTTTCAAAAATGTGTTTTTGTTGCCTCCTCTATAAGTACAATTAACTCTCTACACCATCGTTGTTTGTTCCTTTAACTCCCATGCGTGACCAAGACAGAATTTCTCCTTACAATAACAATACAATATCAAGCAGACAAGTGATGAGAATAACGAAAAATATCAGTTAGGAGATTATTAGTTGATCCAATACCAAATTCTCCAAACTAACATCACAAGAACTATATGGCAGACAGTAAGGAGAATTACTAATGAGATCTTGAGTGCTAAATCAGCAGCAGAAACTTAAGCGGTAACTGAGGGTCTCATAGAAGTGATAGCTTTCACGGTTATAATTTTGACCATTTTACTACGAACGGTGAACAATTCCATTGCTGTCACTGGACATTTTTGTTACGGTTAACTTTTTTTTCTACGACTCGCGCTTAAAATTTGTCGATTTTCGCGCGTAGCGATTATCAAAGACCAATCATTATTCATCGCCAGTTGGTGTTACTTATGCAATTGTATTATGAAAGCGAACTGAACTGAGCATATCCTAGCCCTTTGAGTTACTTCTAATTTGAAATTGGTGTCACTCCAAGTTTTACGTGGGGGTCTGGAGACTCGCGAGGGGCCCGGGGAGGATGGGAGGGGGTGGGTTTAACTACTTTGCCCGCCTGGTATCGCCGCTCTACCGCATACGTGTTAACGAACGACGTTAGCTTTATCGTAGTTATGGAGAACATCTAGCCACAAGACGGGGGAGGGGGGAGCCAAAAACGTTTCCGCTACTACTGTCTCCGGTCTGCCAGCCATGCATAATGACGGATTAGCGTAATCACATTTACGCGGAATATCTAGCCACAGGGAAAGACGGAAGCTTCCAGCGCTATTATTTGTTCAATGGTTTTTTTTCTGACAACTTTCAAAAGTAATTCATAGTGTAGAAACCAATTTTAACTCTTTTGGAAAAATTCAAGTTGTTCTTCTTTGACACTGGTTTGTTTAAGGAATAGAAACCTTTGTACCAAATAATCTCTGATTAGACTGCCGGGCACACTCTCGAATAGACTAAATGCCCGGCAGTTGAAAATTTTCACAGAAATGCCGCTGGCAAATTCATATTAATCTAATGAGTATATCGATGGACAAATTTAACAAGCTTATCGAAACACAAACCGCTTCGTTGTCGACGCTTGAACAGACTGCCGGGAACGGTATCAAACAGGTTAAATACCGGGCATTCGGAAATATCCACTGAATTCCGAGGAAACCCTTTTCACAGAGTATAAATTTAAAAATGATTGCCTCAGTTGAATTTAGTGATTATGAAGCAGTACTTTTGTTCAGTGTAAAAGGGCCTTTGGGGGTATCGTAAAACAAAATGCACCGCTACTGTCAAAGATCTTTACATCAAGGGAACCAAAATACAGCATAGGAAGATGTTTACTCATTTCCATGTTGATTTGCTGGCTTACAGAAATAACTTTTTGAAAGAAAGAAATGGTGAAAGAGCCATACACGAGGTACAACGCTCCGGAACCTTTCAATAGCTTTTTGGTGAAGATTCTTTACTGCCTGGCATTTAGTCCATTCAAGATCGTGCCCGGCAGTCTGATCAGAAGCGACAATTTCTTAGTGACGACAACCGAGCGAGATATTAAAGGGTGAAAACGCTCGGAGAATTTGTCCATTGAAAAACCAAATGTGGGCAATTTGTTTTTGATGTGATCAATTTATTTTAACTTGAGCAATTTAAAGAGTGTGGTGGTAATTCTGTGAAAATATCAACATCCGACTTCCGTTTGAACTCATGAATATTTATAACAGATCGTGTCATTTTACACGTCGTATCATTTTACACATCGTATCATTTAGCCACAGCCATTTTTAGCTGACCTTGTAAGCCATTATTTGGGGTCGAGTTAAAGAAACAAGATGTTGTCTCTTCATACTATCCTTCTGTGTTCATTAACATTGCAAACCTCAGCTGATCTATTGTCAGAACATTCCTTCTTCGCTCCTCTGGATGAAGATCAAAATGTAAAATTGTACTGGAACGTAAGCATTGAAAGTAAAGAAATATTTTTCACCGTGGAAGCAAACACAACAGGATGGATAGGGTTTGGAATCTCTAGTGGACAGGGAAAGATGAAGGGAGCCGATATTGTAATCGGTTGGGTAAAGGACGGTAAATCATATTTCCAGGTTAGTTTGAAACGAATTAGTTAATTTTGTTTCTTAGTTACTTAAATTCCGAAACTTTTTAAAGGCTCTCTTTTAAGGATTTGCGAGTTTTTCCATTTCTTTTTGTAAATATTACATAAATGTATTATTTGTAGCGCGTTTAGTGCATTACAAGACGGATCGTCAGCAAAAAAGCCGCTGTAAGTTGAATCGTGGATTATATTAGATGTGGCCATTGCATTGTTTCGTTTTCAACCAAGGCAATCGTCAGAAATGCTAATTAGAAACAACAACTCACGCATACAATGTTTACGTTGTGGATATAACACACATCAAAACATGTGATAAAGCGACTTGTTAAGATGAATTCAAGAGATATGCCTGACAGAAATTTTGGCCGAAGCATCGACTATTTGACGTTTTCGCAAGAAGCAACAAGAGAACAGGATCTTGCGAAACATCAGCATTGGTCCATGTTTTAATAAGAAATGACAACTCACGCATACAATGTTTCCACTTTGGATATACCGCACATCAAAACATATAATAAAGCGGCCTGTTAAGATAAATTCAAGAGGTATGCCTGACAGAAATTTTGGCCGAAGCACCTTATTGTATCGACTATTTGACGTTTTTGCAAAAAGCAACAAGAGAACAGGTCGGAACTTGCAAAACATTATTATTGATTCATAATGTTACAAATATGACGCAGGTAGCAGCTGAGTATAGGTGAACTCAACAGACCAGTTACAGTAAATTAGGTACTGTCAGAGGTTGTTAATGAAAAATTATAAAGGAAAGACTGATAAAAGTGTTTCACTCAATTCAGCCGGAGGGCAAAACGGACCACAAGGAAATTTGCATGGAGCTAGCTACTTCAGTCCTTTTGTTAGCAGGAAGCATAATTGACAACTTAGAACAAAGAACACTGACGCAGAATGACTTGCAAATATCGATTTGATATCGAGGTTGCAAAAAATTCATTTATGGAAAAAGAGGCTTAAATCCCTAGAAAATAAGTATTGAACTTGTTAAATGAGCCTCAAAATTTGGATAACTTAAAACTTCGAAACTTCTCAATAGCATTTTAAACAAGGAGTTAAAGAAAGCTCATAAAACAACTTACTTAACTCCGTCAAAACAGACAACAAAAGTAAAAATGACCACGTCGGTTCTCCAATGTCGAAGTCAAAGTTCTTTGACGTGATTGTGAAATCACGCGAGCCGCACGTGAATACAAAAATACAAAGGGGGGAGGGGAAGAGAAAAATTGCAATTTGAAATTTAAAAACGAAAGAAATATTTCCCGTACGGCCCTCCCACTAAGTCGATAAGTATTTTACCATTTAACAGCTATGTGTTAAACATTTCGAAAATTTGTTTTTGAGGTTGCTTTTCTTTCCCTCTCAAATAATTTACGATAAAGAACGCATTACGAGAAGTCTCAGTAAACCTGTCCAAAAATCCGCAAAACGAGTCTTGTGCTTGTGATTGTTCTTATCTAGTTTTGACCAGCCTGGTGATTCTTACATTATTTTACCTTTTTTTTTTTGGTAGGATCGATATTCTAATGGTTACTCAGTTCCAGAGGTGGATATCCAACAGAATTATACATTGATTTCACTTGAAGAGAGAAACGGAAAAACTGTTATGAGTTTCAAAAGAATGTTTGACACGTGTGATCCACAGGACAACAAGATTGAGGTTCGCAGTATATAACATTAGAATTATTTCGTTTTTACTCATTTACCTATTCATTAGCTATTTTTTTTCTCGTCATTAATGTAATGAAGGGGGAAATCTTTTGAAAAAAAAGGAATTGCATATGGATTGAGCTTTTGCATACCAATTTCATGATCAATGACCCACTTTATTAAATGCGTGGTCTACGATCTCATATTAAATATGAAAGCGTTCAACTCTAAGCCAAAAAGTGTCTTGAGGAAAATAAATATAGACCATGGTAATACCATTTTCCTCAGTCTATTGTACAGTTCTTTAGAATAATCGAAAGAACTGTCATCGATTCGTCTAAGTAAGTAAAAACGAACCTTCACAGAAGAAACTAGTTAGCTAACATTCTCCCTACGATCCAGGCTGGAACTACAAAAGTGATTTATGCCTACCACATGGATGACCCAACCTCAGAAGAAGAAATAGCCCCGCACAAGATAGGACACAAGGGATCAAGGAGTCTGTTGTTGCTAAACAGCCTTGAAAAAATACCGACCTTACCACCAGATACTGAGACATTCGATATACGACATAACGAGGTAAGAACTGTAAACGCTAGTAAACGCCCCCAATCCAGAGCTATACGTTTCTAGAGGCTTATAAACTCCATTCCCTAAGAAATGATATTTAGCGAAAGAAAAACACAAATTTTATGAATGAGTGAACGCAGAGGAAAGATGGGACAACCGTTGGCAAAAATGAAGGTTACTTGAATGAGGAATAAATGAATAAATGAATGAATAAATTAAATAGCTAATTAATTAATAGAAGAATAAATTAAATAATTAATTAATTAATAGAAGAACAAATAAATGAATGAATGAATAAATAAATGAATAAATGAATGAATGAATAAATGAGTGAATTAATTAATTAAAAGAAAATGTAAATAAGTGAATAAATGAATGAATTAGTAAATAGAAGAATAAATAAATTAATAATGACTGAATAAATTGATAAATAAATAAATGGACGAGTGAATAAATAAATGAAAACATTAATAGATGAATGAATGAATAAACTAATAGATTAATAAATGAACAAATAAATGAATGAATAAATTAATAAATTAATAAATAAATGAATGGATGGATGGATGGGAAAATGGAACGATGGATAGATGGATGAATGTAGGAGTTCATGGATTAAAGATGGATCATGGATAAATTAACACTGTAGGAACAAAGGACGTACAACGAAATAAGCTTATGCCTAATATGCTAAAGTCAAGTGATCAATTTGTGCTGGCTGTGATGACTCAGGTTTCTTTTAATTTTCACTTTGATATATTATCTTCATTTCAGACCGCTGTTCCAACTGAACGAACGAGCTACATGTGCAGAACATTTGAGATTCCAAAAGTTAACGAAACGCATCACATTGTTATGGTAAGATATATTGAACTCAAATAACACACTTAGCATTCGCTTCACGGGAAAATTGGCTATACAGTATTACTGTTATTTGAAATGTGGTTATATACATTTTTTGTTTTCTGCCTACCTCTTGTTCTGACTTTCTCTTACCGTCTTCGTTTCCTTTTTGTTGTTTATCTCCCACCTTTCCGAAGATTTATTTTGTCCGGCTTTCTTTTTCTCATTGCTCTAGTTCACGTTCTTGTCAATTACCAAACATATTCCATTTCTGTCAATACCATACTATCTATCGAACAATATTCGATTGTACTGCGAGACCATACCAAAGTTCGATCAACGTGCAAATTCCTAGCCATGTTCAATGACACATGACTACTGCACGAGTAATGTCAAACCACTGCGTTGCTCCAGTCAGATAAATACAGAAACATATAACAATTTCGACAAAATAGGTACAGTATACGTTTGCTGTACGAAAACGAGTGAAATATTGGTGCGAACTGGTGAAGGTGGGGGCGATCTTGTTTTCCTCCAGGGGGCGAACTCACAATGAGGCGAAACTTCCATGTACCCTTTTTTTTTCTGCATTCTCTACATCCTCTTTCTTTTTCATAATCATCTCCTGCCTTTCCAGTAAAATTTTAATTTTTTCATTTGCATCTAGGTTGAGCCAGTAATTCAAGCGGGTCATGAGGGCATCGTACATCACATGTTATTGTACGAGTGTAGCGATCACTACCCAACACATCTCTTGAATTATACCGGCGCGTGTTATAGCTCTAACATGCCTCCCCCTGGGAGAGAGTGCGTAGGAGTATCAACAATTGCTGCATGGGCTATTGGTGGAAAGGTGAGTTAAGTGATGATTTTTTTTGAAGGCGCAGCTCAATATGTGTACTGAAGACATCAAGCATTCTCTTGGAAGGAAAGAAGAGAATGGATTCAAAATTTCAAGCATAGGGAATGGGTATTTTTAGCTCCAGGGATCTTAAATCCAAATCTTAAATCAGGCCAATAAAAGGAGTTTTTCCAGTATTATTTGTGAAAAAAGATTCAGGTCATTAACCATCTATTCGACTCAATAAGTTTTAATTGCATCTTTCAGGAATTTTATTATCCCGAGAATGCTGGATTTCCGATAGGAAAAGCTGACAGCCCTAAAGTCGTCATGTTAGAAATACATTATGACAATCCTGAGAAAAAAGAAGGTAATCATATGATGATAAAATAACACCAAAGTGCCCCATCAAACCAGAGCTTAACCCAGTTTCTAATCCTTCTGAGCGAGAACCCAGTCTTCCTCAACTTACCTTCTCCCCCTCCCTTCCCCCCTCGGCCTCAGATTTTTATTTAATATTCCTGGGTGTGGAGAGAGGCGAGATAAGTTTCTTGTCCAAGAATACAACACAGTGACCCAGTCAGGTCTTAATTCAAGTCCTCTCGACCCGGAGTTCAGCACGCTATTCGTTGGGCCACTGCGTCTGGCAAAAAGTTTCAAACAGAGTAGAAAATACTAATCATGCTAAATCCACCGTGCACTCTCTACAAATTTTTAACTGTTAATGCTGCGATGCCGGTTATACAGGCTTCACGAACATTCATCTTTCACAGCGAAATAGGAACATAACTTTCATCGGATTTATGTTAAAAAAAGGGTTGGAGCCATAACTTGAAGATGATATTTGTGGCTCCGAAACGCGGTGTCACAAAATAAGAACTGAATTGATCGATTTCTGGTTGGTTCAATTAAGGACTGAATGACAGCTCTGGCCTAAGGTTCTACCACACAAAGCAACTCAGACAGTATGATGCAGGGGTGCTGATGGTTGGAGAGGGGGTTTCAAGTTCCATGATTATCCCGCCAAAACAGAATGCTTGGCAGTCGGATGGGTTCTGCCTCAAAGAGTGCCTGAAGGAGGTGGGTGAATTTTATCGGCCGTTTTTAAGGAATTTCGAACAAATCAGTGAAGTTGTTTTTCAAATAAGTGTCAAAAGTAATCATATATTACATGATTCTGCGTCTCTGAGCTTTTCATTGGACAAAATCTGGTTATTCTGTAATCAAATTGGACTACAGTTACAGCACGGTCGCTCACATTTCCGATTATTGATCTAGATAACTTTTGTTTAATTTAACACTTTACTTTTTTTTATCGATCGATGTGACTTCTCCTTGGTTTTAGTGTTTACAGTACTTAATCGAATCGTGCTGTTTTTCTAACAAATTTAACTTACTTTCGTTAAAGAATTCATTTCATGCGACATTTTCCTAACGTTTTGTATCACCCTTAGGGAATGAAAGACTCCAAACTGCCAAAAGGAGGAATAAATGTCTTTGCTGTTTTGTTGCATACGCATCTGGCGGGTAATCTTGTAAACTGAGCCTTTTCACATAACGCTGACTCATTAAAATAATTTTAGGTCATTTCAGACCACAACAAGGAGCCTTTTTCTTTGTCATTCAGTTCGCTTCAAGTAAATGAATCTTCTATCAGTTAGAAAAATTGCTGGGGTGTTTAAGTCCTCATTAGAGTAATTTTTTTACTTGCATGGTAATCTACTTTGAATTGCTGGGATTTCTAGACAGCCACCATGTGTTCAGTGCATTTCAAACTGATTTCGAAACTCGCACGTGAAGTTATAGCCTCTGTGTATGAAATAAATGCCAGGAAATTCAAATGTTGATGACGGGCAAAGAATTCAAAGTTGTCTTTTTACCTCCGGGTTTGGTATTTTACACTTTCTAAAGGAAGTACACTTGTCTTTTGCGGCTTCCTGTTGTAATTCTTCCTTCCTCCTTTTTCATGCCTTTGCTGTTTAGGCCGCAAAACCTGGGTTCGTCACGTGAGAGGTGATGTGGAGTTACGAGAAATAGCTCGAGATGATCATTATGATTTTAACTTTCAGGTATTGTTATAGTTTGATATTGGATTCCTTTCTCTCTCATTTTAGAGGTGTCCTTGCTTTAATACATCGATTCTTTTCGATTTTTTCGTTTCGGTTTGTTTCTTTTTCTTATTTTGTGTCCGCAAGATTTCTATTCAACAGCCCCAAACTAGTCAATTATTTGTACATAATAAGCTGTATCTAAAAAAAAAATAATATCCAAACGTGGTATTATCTCGTTATTATAGTCATAACAAAGAAAATATGAATTTCTTATGAAAATTTATTTTCATTTTGGTTGATTTATTTCCTTTTAATCATTATCACAGGAGTATCACTCATTGAGGAAGGAGGTTCACATTGCTTCGGTAAGAATATTAGGACCTGCATCTCACCAGCTGTTTTTATTGCCGAGGGAATCACTAAAGTAAATTTAGAGTGATAAATTAGCTGAGAGGGGAACACTATACTCCACGGAGTACTCGAAAATGGGCTTTGTGCTTCAAGAGAGGCTAATTTTGAAACTACGAGTACGTTTATCCTTGAGTTGTACCAAAGAAAGTCAACTGATTGTGAAAAAAATAAAAAAAAATTACAAAAGACGCGGAATTAGGAAAGATTGATGGCATTCTATGATTCTTATATCTCTTCTTTAAAGCTGGGTTTGTCATTGAATTTTTGCTGCATTTAGTATCTCGCTTTCCAAGCTTCCCAAATCACTAATTTGGTTGCTTGCCACGGAAACCATTACCTATTTAATTTTCATCCGTTTTCGTTTCAAGTGGAAGGCAAAAACCTTTTCACTCCAAGTATTTTCTCAATTTTGACCGGTTGACAATGACTGAGTGGTAGATGAATCTGATTGGATAGCAATAATTGCCATTTTTAAAATCAAAATTTCTTTTAGTTGCTTAAGAACTGTGCGATTTCGCTTGCTTGAGAAAGAACAACTTGAAATGGGAAATTGAATTGCATCGATACCATGTATTACACCATTAAAACAGATTTTCCACTTATTTTCCTGACAGGGAGATTCGTTGATTAATGTTTGCATTTATAACACTGAGGACCGACAAACAAAAACAGTGGTGAGTGATCATAAGCCGGAGAAACACAAAGAAAGCGCCCATACAAAGGACTTCAGTAACTAAAGTTACTGAAGTTACCGCTGACGAATGAAGAGCTTTGGGCAATTGTCATTTCATAGAGACAGCATCTCAGTTAATACGAACAGACCAGGTGTAACTAAATATCAGCTGCATGGATTCCTGCGAAGTGTCTGGTCTACCCAGCGTAGATTTTCTGAGAAGCTAATTTTAAAAACGGAAATTCTCAAAAATAAAAAGTGTGGATTTTAATTACTTTAACACATGCTAAGCAATTTTTGGATCATTATCGTGCGACTTAAATGTCCTTAGTATCCAGGCTTCCACAATAAGAATTTAACACGTTCAAATGGTTGTCAGCCATGAAACCGAGAGGTGTGGGTATCACCATATTTGTTCCATTTTGGGAAACTTGTACTGAAAATGGATTTTAAATGCGAAACGCGTAATTCTATGTGGCTCAGTCGTAGAGCGCTAGGGCGTGGAATCTGAAGGTCAGAGGTTGTATTTCTTGTAAGGATTCGGACATTTTTTTCCTTGTCACCCTTGTGACATGACGGAAAAAAACATATTCCTTCATTTTGTATTATGTATACGAACGTTCATCAATGTTAACTTCCAAATTGTGATCTTTGTGTTTGACAACAGGGTGGACTTTCTACAACTGACGAAATGTGCTTGTCATTTCTGATGTATTATCCCAAAGTTAACCTCACAAAGTGCGTGTCCGTGGACTACAGCGCTTACCAATCATGGGAAACGGCGTATAACAAGTAAATTGTTCAAAAGAGACGTTAAGTCTTTCTCCTGGAAAATTTACATGTTTAAGTTTGTGACTTGCATTTGCACTTTTGATTTGAGAGCAGCCAGGTGTGCAACATGTTAGGATTTAAAATTGTCATATGGGCAATTTTTTTTTCTCATGCAGAGGTGGCGATCAAACACAACTCAGCTTCTGGACAAACGCAGTCAACAATGGCTTGAGGGATGCTTACCAGGGTTCCAAGAAGGCGTTTGCAATCTGCCAAGCGCGCGCGCATCTACCAATACAGGTAAGTTTAATTACCTTTGGAGGATTTCTACATAATCATGATCATTGCCATCGTTACCATTTCATTTTAAAGTGAGCTCAGTAAATATTTAAACAATTGTTTCTTTGCTTCTTCAAACTGTCAGACGAACAAAGGATGGGAATCAGTTGCGTGTCACCCACTAGTTTTTTTTATTCTCGGGGAAACACTGGAAGATCATTGTAGCCATTTACAAATTTTAATCACTTTGGCTCACAATTTATTCAATAGATTCTAAGGACATTTTAAAAGTGCATGAGACGTACGGTCTCGCATTTCTTTAAAACATAAATTTTTACAAGGAAAGGGCATTTTTGAAACTGCGATTTATAAGATGACTAGGTTCATCATGTAGGTTCATAATAATAATAATCATGGTCAAAAATATGAAATATATACGCTAACCGTGGAATGTTTTGTGTTTTGATTTTCCCAAAGGCTCGCGTGTATACAATACCCAGAAAAAAAAGTGGCCCGTGAAATATTCCACAGTGTACCACTCGAAAGCGTGATATAATTAGAATATATGACATCGTTCACTGCACTGCTCCGTGACCGCATTGCATTGTACTATCCTGTTTTCGTTTTACAGGGCGTTGACAGGGAACAACATTCAAAGCCAATAATCAATAGTCCCTATAAACCAGAAGTGGTTTGCCCTTCAGCACGACCGACATCAACAAGACCGACGACTTCGAAAAACGTTGCCATAGACAACAGAGGTGCTACAAGTTACCTACTGCTTCTCTCTACATACATATACCTGGCAGCCTTTGCTGAACTCTAGATCTCTTGGTACTTTGGCAGAAAAAACTTTGTTACCCGAATTCGAGTAACATATCGCATAAAGCCAAATCAAAACGAGATGACTGTATTTGACAGCTTTAGATGATATATATACGTAGTGTGCGTTAATTAGTTCGGGACTGGACTGGTCAACATTTAACGTCGGAGAGGAGGGGGGAGGAGAGGGAGGGAGAGGATTCTGGTTGTGTCACAATAAAATTTACTGATCCCCTAAAAGGTTCTGTAACATTTATAATCCCTCTTATTGGCAGTTAATATTGTCAGTCATTTATACCCCCCACCCCCTTCGCACTATGTCGGAAACGACTTATCCCCAAAGAATCCTCCCTCCCGCCCCCCTCCCCCTGAGTGATTAAAAGTGACTAGTTCCTTTCAAGTGATAAATAGCAGCGTTCAGCATTTAGCATTTAGCATTCAGCATTCAGCATTCAGTATTCAGCATTCAGCATTCAGCATTCAGCATTCAGCATTCAGCATTCAGCATTCAGCATTCAGCATTCAGCATTCAGCATTTAACACTTAGCACTTACCATTTAGCATTTAGCATTCAGCATTTAGTTTTCAGTCTTCGGCGTTTAGCATTTAGCATTCAGCATTCAGCATTCAGCATTCAGCATTCAGCATTCAGCATTCAGCATTCAGCATTCAACATTCAGCATTCAGCATTTAGCATTCAGCATTTAGAATTCAGCATTTAGCATTTAGCATTCAGCATTCAGCATTTAGCATTCAGCATTCAGCATTCAGCATTCAACATTCAACATTCAACATTCAACATTTAGCATTTAGCATTTAGCATTTAGCATTTAGCATTCAGCATTCAACATTTAGCACTTACTATTCAGCATTCAGCATTTAGCATTCAGCATTCAACATAACTACATTTACTCAGTATTTTGATAAAAAGTGGTCAGTTTTAAACGTACAAAGTTAACAATCAACGCTCGCTTTTACAGCTCACGTAATCTAACTTTTTTTTACTTTCGGTTACGAGCCTTTACCTCGTGATAAGGCTGGGAATAGTTTTTGATAACTGCTACAAGTAAAATTTATACTTTTTGCTATTTATAACATTAAGTTTATTACCATTCCGTCTATCTTGTTGTCCCTGCCGTTTGTATAAGTATTTTTCAGTAATCAAGCATCATGCACTTCTGCAGAATGAGGTGGAGCTGAAGGGTAGACTTCTTCAGGCGTTCCACCCTCTCAGACCACGCAAAATGAACTGCAGACACAAGCCTGCTTAGTAGCCATGTAACCCATTCCAGATCCCGAATGGTCATCTTTACACATATTCAGACAAGGTGGCGATTACTACTCCGTTTTTTCTTGTGGTGCAAATTAATTTACAGTTTAGCTCTTATGAGTAACAAACTCCCTTGCCAGAGTTGCACTTAGTCACAATGAAATTTTTTAGAGTTCGGTTTGTCTTCTTATCTTATGGTTTTCGTTTTTGTTTGAGCCATTTTGTTTTTTAGGAAGGGTGGTGGAGGGGGGAGGGGAGGGGGGAGGGGGGGAGGGAGAACGGAAGGATGCTACTCGAGAACCTGTGTCTGTCCTCATGCTTCATGACGTGTTTTTTTTTTCTCTACTGACTACTTCTCGTCTTTCCTAATCATGTAATCATTCAGAAAACGATCTGATATAAACCAAAGAGATAAAACAGCAAGTCTTTTCCATTTGCTTCATTTCTTTGAATAACCTAACTATACCATTATATAAATAAATTCTTCATGCAATGTCTAATTTTAATTGCAGCTCCTCGACGAAAATCGTCAATGTTCTCTAACTCACATCGGTCTTTAAAGTTCATTAGCTTTGACTTGTTTCGCGCATTCTTTAACGCTTTTTCTTTCCATATATCTCCGGTTCTGAAACCAGTTTCTAATTTGAAGTTCTGTCATTTCCAGTCCTCTCGCCAACAGCGTGCGCTCGTCTCGGGTTAGATATTTTTGGTGGGAAAACAATTTTTCGAGATGTTGGAGCTGATGTTGAGTGAAATGGCTCCGGTGTCTTCGCTTCCTTTTGGGGGTCAGGTCCTCGCCGACGTCCATCTTAAATGGTTTGGGATTTTCATCGCCATTTCCGTCTGTTTTGGCGTCTGAAGGTAAAGAGGAACAATGTAAGTCATATTTGACCTATTTGGTAAATAAACCCGTTCAAACGGCTGGTAAGTCGCTGACACTATCTGCGGCTGAGATATTGTCCTAGAATTGAATATTTGGCCGAGAACAAAGCCTCGAGAGCAAATGTGAAATCGGCATTATCAGTCGCCATGCCAGCAGGCCAGGAGGAGTTTATTTGAAACCCTCTTGTTAATTTTCGCATCACGCGTTAACTTATTTCCCGAGCAGCGGCTGACGATCGAGTTTACTGTTGCATAAAACCTCTAGAACACAGGGAACACACTAAAATCCGTTTTACTTCATTTTCGAGAGGAATTTGAATGTGGAACCCGGCCGCCTTCAATAATAAGCTTTTCTTGTTTTTTTTTGTTTTTTGTATTTGTTTTTTTGCCTTCTGTCTTAACAAAGTGGTGTAGAAACGATATTTTTTCTGCAACTAGGGGAACGGTAGACAAACAGTAAGCTTTGAACCGAAACCCTCATCCAGTGACCCTGTAAACGAGTTAGTCAGACAATGTAATTTAACGCTTATGCAAATTATGTTTCAGAGAAGTAAGAGGCGTTACGCTTCATTACTATGCAGGTATAGAATTATCACTACCTGTAGTGATCAAAAAAGCAAGAGGACTTGAGATAATTATTACCTTCTTTATGTTGAAGTGAAGAATCGTCCTCGAAACCCGAAATATCTTTGTCATTGGCGGGATTCTGAGTCACTATATTCTGTTCATTTCCCTCATTAAAGCGTAAACATCGTGCATCCAATTTATAAATAACGGGCAAATATCTAACAATCATTGGTCTGTAATAATGAACTCCATGCAATTGGTAAGATGCACTGTCCAAACGCTTCGTAAAAGTTGACCTAGGTGGCATTAGTTTCACTCTGTTATTCCTCACCCCGCGGGAGAAGTCGTCTCGTAGAATATTCTCGATGGAGAAGGAAAGATGTTCCTTTTTGTGACGGAAATCCATTTGAATCGAGTTACAGGAGATGGTATGCAGTACCTCAGAGCTTTGAAGCTCTTATGGAGAGTCAGGAACCCAAAGAGTTTAAATACATCCATACTTCTTCAGCGTGGGCTATTTTGGGAATAAAAATCACTGAGTAAAACTTTCATTAAGGAATGTAACGCACGCATGTCGCATGATGACCTAAATGCCGTCACAACCCACTCAGTGACGTGGGGGAAAACGTCCTTCCCTACAATCGCAACTTTACATTTAAGGTTATTTAACGCAAACGCGTCATAAAACATATACTACGTGCATAAACCAGGAAACTTTGCTAATTCTTGAGATGATAAATCTTCTACTAGGAGGAAAACCTGTATGAAAAAAAAATTCTACAGGTTTCGCGTTGTGTTTACAAGAGTGCCACTGTCGTCACAACTCAGTGAGGATTGATGATTACATTTGGCACGCCTTTCCAGTCCGTAAATAGAATGACTTTTAAGATGCAAAACTCATTTACGTTTAATGACGGAATGAAATGGGGCTTGGTGAGGACATGCAAGGTTATTTTGCTCATAATAAGGGGTTCGAGAATTGTATATTATATCGCTTTGCTTATCAGCATGGGCTCATGGAAATTTAGCAGTGAAAGAGAGTTTATGGAATGAAGGCCTTTCCGCACTAGCAGACAAAACTGGAATTGTCCCGACAAAATCAAAGGACAAATTTTTGTTTCATATGTTGCGTTCGCATTAAAAATTTCAAAGCCGTCAGATTCCGTCCGCGCCTGATTTGTTCATAAAACCGACTAGCATAGTTTTACCGCTTGTGATTCCACCTCCAATTTCCAGGATTTATCCTAGGTCGTCTTAAAATTTTATAATTACAAAAGGCAATTTTTTCCTCTCTAGTAAACTGATTTCAGTTCAATTACACGCTGGTCGCTGAAGCTTTTACTTCAAATGATCTACTAGTTTATCACGGTTTTGTTTATTTGAACGGTTTTTGTCCAGTTCCTACCCGGGACAAATTTTTTCAGGGGTGCGTTTTAAGATCTGTCCGCCACGGCCACATTTCCACATGTAAAATGTTTGTTATGACAGGAGATTTGTCTGAATAAACAACTTTTTCGCTGGTGCGGAAAGGCCTTAAGGCCCTGCTTTTTTAAGACCTTGACGTCACTTTCTATTTTGTGTTCCAAGTGCCTTTGTTTTGCAAAATCGTTTCAGTTCTTGCCGCCAAAACCTGTCTTTCTTCGATTCCCCTTCGATTTGACTGAAAAGAGCACTGCGAGTCGATGCCTAAGTTGAAAAGCGTACTCTCGCGTGATTGAAAGCATTTCAATTTTACTCGGCTCTATCAGTTAACCCTCCTAGTCACGACACAACGTTACTGTGATTACGAAACGCTTCAGCGACGCCGCAAAGGAAGGCGCTGTGAATTAAACCCATAGCGCCATAGGTAAGGATTACGACTGATATGCCCGTCTTTTAAAAGGCAGAAGAAACAATATAAAGGAAAAAAACGATGGCATTCTACAATTTTGTTTCTTCAATGCGTTTCGATACTTTTTTGGCTCAGTTTAGTTTCCCTTTGGCTCCAAGTTTTCGTTTCGACTCCATCAGAGCTCAGCGTGATTCCCTTCAACACAGCTAAAGACACCTCCAGTGGCAAAAACTAATTAAAATCGATCGCATTCTACAATTTTATCAACTGAATGCGTTTTAATACCCTTTTTTTTGCTCATATAGCCGCAATTGGGCTCCCAATTTTCGTTTTAAATCCGTTGGAACGCTGCGTGATTCCATCGACACGGCTAACGGTATATTCAGTAGCTAAAATTACAGACAAAATACCACAACCTGATCATTAATCTACATTATTTTCCACAATTAACTGAGAAAAACGATAAATAAGCAGAGCACTTATGCTCATATAAACGGATACATCCTGCAAATTTGCGGTTTCCTTGACCATGCCATGCCTCATCAGTTGTTTTTTTTTTCACGCCCGGAAGAGGGTGGACAGTGATCAGTTTCATGGTCAACTTACGTCACACAAAATTGACTCCGTCAGTGGTACTCACCTGAAAAAGGTTAATAATATACAACCAGTTTTACAATAACGCTATTAAAGAAAAATGTGAAAAAAGAAAAAAATCCATGCAAATTACATGCTTTCAAATGTGACTCAGGTTGAAGGCCGTAAATTAGATAACTCATTGGGTTAATTACGTCACCTTCGTTAAATAAAGAATATTGTATTGTATTTTATTGTATTTTTGATGGAAAATAATTAGTCATCTCTCCCTCCCTACGTTTCTTAAAATGAAGAAAGCAGGAAATTTGGGTTTGCCCAATGACTTCCCATTTGGCTTCCTTCCTTCTCAAATTTGGTTTTGTTTTTTTTTAATATATTGTTTTTTTTATTTTGTTGTTATTTTTATTTGAAAAGGTTAATGCAACTCATTGCCTTTTGACGTGTTTGGTAAACTGCAGCCTCACCTACATTTTCTCTCCCGGTTCCCTTTATGAACCAACAAGACCTTATCATCTCACGCCCCAGTGAGTCAGACAACTGCGTCATTACACAATAATCGTTTCCTTCGTGCGAACGACTATTAGCTTAAACAACGACATACCTATCGTAAGACAAGCTTTTTTCGCACAAAGATATTTTTGATTAGTAACGACACAACGTAAATATTTTCAGTTATACTGAATTTAAATCACATTTTACGAAGACCTTATTTGGAAAGCTGCACTCGTCTCTCAAGCTCTAAGAAAGGAGATAGCTACTTGAGCTAATCAAAGGCTGAACCCGGCGTGAATGACTGTTGAAGATCGTGGTATGTTTGGTTTTATGAAAGCCTCAGTTTATTAACCAACTGATTTTCTTGTTTGTTTGTTCTGTTTTTCCTTTCTTTGCCAAGAAACTAGCCTACTACTTGTCAGTCCTTGGATCTACTCAGAGTACTCCGTGATAGAGTGACACACTCGGCTGCCCCTCGTATGCCACTTTTTTGTTCTTACAACAGAACAGAGGCACGGCAACATGGATTCTATTTGCTAATTAGAATATACTTGTGATTGCTTTAAAAGCCAATGATACCATAATCGGTTATTATAAGAAACAGAATTGAGCCGTCATTCCCGCCTAAGTCCTCCCAATTTGATGCGCCATAATTAAAAAGATGCATGCACCACCCAGACTCTCAAAACAATGACATTTCCCAAATTGGCTTGACTGTCACGGAAAAAATCACCACCCAAGGAGACACTAGTCATATAAATAGATTGCTATTAAACATAAGCAGGGAGGCGTGTTAAAGACTACTGGACTGCTCAATCGTTTAAGTACAACCCCATGGCCTCGAGAAAAGACGGGAGTTGAGATCCATGAAAAGTATCTGCTACGATAGCAAATATGGAGCACCTTGCAATTGTGAAAAAGTGATACGTTTTCGCTTTTTTCACCTTCTCATTCCATGTTTCCATTTATCTCTTACGCGATGCCTTCTATGGGCTGTATTACATTATATAACTATACCTGGCCCGCCAAAATCTATATTTTGGCCCGCGAATCAAATGCCCGTCAAAGTGATGACAACATGGAATCAATTTGTTCATTAGATGATGATAAGAATTGAGCAAGCATTTTGCTTATGGTCTGTGGGAGGATTAAAGCATTGATTTTGTCATCGATAACGACATTTTTCTTTTTCTCACACAAAACAAAATTTTTTGTCCTCACTACAGTTAAACATCGTGGCAACGTGGAATCTGACAACTTCCAGAATTTTCAACGCAATGCTACGCAATTTTCAGGCCGTGATGTCTAGGAAACACAGATTAAAACACGGTGATCCTATTGCGTGGGTTGCCTAAACACAAGAAATTCTAGCTCTTTCGCTTCTAAATAGCAGGGTTTAGTATTCCTATCAATAGGAGTTTTGTCTCGAAATGTTTCTTTTTTTTTATTTTTGCCTTCCTTTTGGTTATAGTTTTCGGTTAAAAAGCGGTTATTTGGTAAACTCGGCAAATGTGTTTAGAGTTAAGAGCAGCAACTCTTAAACATCTTTCGCGCTCTCCAAACTTGCCGCATGCTTCAAATCTCCATGCAAGTATACGAATATATATCTACGAATAGATAAAGCAGGCTGACTCGAAGCCCGCCCCTGTTCCACCAGCAACGAATGTTCGGTCGGAAGCTTATAACGTCGCCTAGTCGCTCATTTCCTTCGCCCGTCGTTTACCTGCGTTGCTTCGTACATTACTGGTTTTAATTCAGTAGAAGCTTTCTGCAAATATTTTCTTTTCCATTGAAAATTGCCAAATATACGCAATTTATATCAAAATGTTGGGCAATATTTCTGCATTTCCTCTCGCACCCGCGAACGGAAGGATAAAACTGATAAAAACCACGAACGTCCAGAAGAGTGCAGCTGGTATAACCTCCTCTGTGTAAAAAATAGGTCATACCTGAACTCGAAACCAAAAGGAACGAACTGGATGCCATCAAGGTCAGGGACGAGAACCAAATGACTAGGATGCGGTATTTCGCCTTTTTATGCATCTAGTGACAAAACAGTAGGCCAATAATAGTTGTCCCTCAGAAACGAGATTTTAATGTAGTTTCTTTTAAGGGTATAAATTTGCTTTTTCCTTGTTATCTGTGGCATAGGCGCCAGAAATAAACGGTTGGATTATTAGTTTTCGACGCAAGAAACAAGACTCTCTTTTACTGTATGGCAGTAACAAAGCAATATTTCTAGAAATTCATAACAATGGCAACGTGTCTGGTATGAAGTTGGTTTACCTAACATGGAAGCGGTTTTAACTAAAAGAGAAACGCGAGTAAAAAAACTTTCAACAACAGGTGCATGAGTAATAAGGGAAGTTTATCATATGACCCATAAGGCTCCAGGCGTGCATTCCCATATCATTTCGATTGACTGTCGTTCAAACACAACCAAAGTGATTACAATAGCCAATCAGAGAAGAGCAAAAGAGTACAACGAGCCAATGAGAATTCACAAGAAATAACAAATGAGACAAGCAAACTGCTTTTAACGCGGGAAAAAGGGTTTTTGTTTTGAATCTGGTTGCCAGCGAAATCGAGAAGACTGCTCTGGACCAATCACACGACGAACTAAAGCAAAATCAAAGCAATTCAGTATTATTTTCGACTTTCAATTGAAAACTATTCCAAAAGTCGATTTTTCTAAGGACGAAATTAAAAAGACCTCAAGTGTGAAAATCTGGCATGCCCACAACATTATGTACAAGCGACGCGGGATTGACAAGAGATTTCTCCAGAGGAACATCAATGTCAAAAGTATGACGTAACGGGCCTCGTCCTGATGTCTTCCGCGCATTGCGTGCTGGGATTGGTAGTTCAGAATGGTGAGCTGGAAGTGGTTCCGTGAAGAAATATGGATGCAATAAGGCCTGAAACGAAATGCAACAATAAATTGAAGTGAAACTAAACAAACGGAAGAGTTTAATTTGTACCTATTGGCATCAGGTATTCCTTTTAAAAGCTTTTTGTGCTTCCGCACGAGTAGCCAGTTTACATCATCAACCCAGTTAAAAAATCAAATTATGTTAGGGGTCACTTTTAAAACTTAAGCCTGCAAATTTGAAAGATCTACCAAAGAGTAAGTGGACACATCAACTGACCTCTTTTGCAGAAATTCTCTCTTTAGAGTGATACACTAAGAAGCGTTTCAGCAAATCTATCGCCTAAAGACAAACAAAATACATTACTAACTTGTACACGGCTTCCAAGAGTCATGTTTTGTCGATATTCTGTGTAAAGTAAACTTAAAGTTTGAACACAGATGCGGCAAATTAACGGCTTACGCGACACACATACAAAAAAAAACAGCGACGATATTCAGACGAGAACATACAACAGAAGATAACTGCTACTGAAGGGTGTACTGCTATGGGCCAAGCACAATACACGCATGGGATACGCACGGTACACGCACAACATACACAAGGAGCACGCACCTCTGGTGAAGCATCAGGAACAATATTCTCTAGAGGTATTGGCGGCATTTCAGGAAAAACGATTTTGTTATAATCTGGTAGTTCTGTCATTCCCTGTTTCAAGCAGAAAGAATTACCACTGAGGTCAAAATTGTGTTTATACAAAACGTAAAACAAAATATGCACGAAAATTTTATTTATTTGTAATAAAATACAGCGACATTATTCAGCTTCTTTAAAGAATCAAATAATCACGCACAAATGAAACCTCAATCGTACATAACAAGATGAAATACCAACGAGATTGTGGACTACTTTATTCATAATTTTATGAGGGCGTAGCAGCCATTTTCTGTTATTAAATGAGTAAATTAGCGATCGTAAACATAGAAGGGACCTTAAGCAGTCAGAAGTTGATCAAAAATTGAACTTTTATTTTGGTTAAAATTCGCGAATGGCTGGCGCCACATCTCAACTTCTGCTTAACGCGCATGTGGGTAGCATTGAGCTTCAGACGGAAACTTCGATAATTCTGCTGTCACGGTATCCGTTCTCAGACCACGCAAATTCCGATGAATTGAATTTGAGGTTTTGCAGAGGAAGGCTTAGAAATGAACAAAGTTTTAAAATGCACGTAGTGAGCATTCGTTCTGTTTATTGGATCTTTTGTTTTTACGCGTTCTCATTGTGGTTGTGAGCATTCGTTCTGTTTATTGGATCTTTTGTTTTTACGCGTTCTCATTGTGGTTGCCGTCGTGGTTTGCTTTAAATTCCTAACTAAGTGATTTTAAATATATACAACGCCTAAAACTGTGAAATCTAACACGTTTCTGTTACCTGGCCTTGGCTGGGGGTTCCCAATACTCGAAGTACACAGTAAAGCTGTGTAATATCACTTTCACCCTAAACAATAATCGGCAAAAGAAAGAAACGTTATAGACAATTTTTCTCCTCTATTTTGATCAGCTTTTTCACCTTATTTATCCTCAAATTTTTCTCATATTTTTTTTTTACGACAAGAAACTGACGATAGCCCACCGACCAGGCAGAAAGATTAGTGAAAGGAAGGAAGATGTTTTATGAGGCTTGATACAAAAAAAATCTCAGCTCTGATGATTTCATGCGGTCTACGAAAAGTTGTTCAATTGTTCCCTCGCCAGTTTTCAATTTTTTATCAAAAATTCCTCTTGGACGTCAAAGCAGACAAAATTACCCTTATCCAAGTAGTGAAGGCTTCACTATTCATATCAAATTCATGTCTGATCTCGGAGTAAAGCAGTAAAGAATAACAACCACAACTAAGACTCCATACGTTCACTCTCACTATGACCAAATAGGTAAAGTTTCAAGATATACAAAGGAAAAGAAAAAAATTCCGAAGAAATCATGGTAAGAATAATCCGAAACAATAATAAGGACAATAATAAGAACTAATAATAGCAACTGATGGGCAAAAAATAGAACGAGGATAAAGATAACTTACGGGGCCTCAAAAAATCTCGTATACATATTTCAAGATAACACAACCGTGACGTGATTCCATTCATTTCTCTTCTGTTTTCTGCTTATCAGGAGCTAGCAAATCTTTCTGACCATTATTTGCCTGGTTGTTCCCATTTCAGTTTTCAAACTTTTTCCACCATGCAACGAATTAACTTCATTCAAAAGGAAGTCTAGCCTGAACCAGGTCTGGAGTTCAGTTATTAAAACGAAGCACGTTAGTAAACAGCGCAATAGCAAAAGTGGAGTGAAAAAACGAGAGGTTTGGGTCGAGTCGCGTCGCGCACAGAACGCGACCAGACCTCTCTCGTTTTTTCACTCCCCCGCTTCTAACGCGCCGTTTACTATTTCGTTTCGTTTTAACCCTTTACGTGTAACTCCCAATATCTAGTTGTTAATTCTCCCCTCTACCTACAACACATTTCCTTGTAAATTAGTTCCAAGAATTTAGTATTAGATCAAGATAACAACTTCTACCTGATATGTTTGAATATTCTCATTACCTGTTTGCTGGATAATGAATATATATTTAAGGGGGAAGTTACATGTTAATCAATATTGGGAGTTAAAGGGTTAATAACTGAACACCTGCAATAGGCTAAATGATGTCATGCCATATACTTACTGGAAAAAGTGGAGAATTGTTGAGGAGCTCTCCAAAAATACAACCAACTGCCCTGTAAGTACAAAATAAACAAACACAGTGTAAATAAAACACATTACCCCACACAAAAGGGGTTGGTAAAACACCCTATAGTTTCCTGCGCTTTTACAACCCAGTCCCCAAACGAGGTAGTCTGATAGTTAGTGTGATGGATCCCCAGAGGTAGGCTCAGACACTGGTGCTTGCTGGGTCATTG